CATATTGACATTGGTATTCTGCCCATGTGCTCAAGGTAGTTCACAATTTATAGTAATGCCAAAACTGATAAACCTGAAGCAAAAGTGGATATAGGTCCGGTTCTTTTGGTATTCCCACTAAGGTATACAAATAAAATCAATGCAATTTAACTATGTTGAATCACTACCGAAGAAACAGAATCAATGGAGTTATTCTAGTTGGAATTAAATCAATATACAGTGAGACCTTGGTATCCCATTCCCATTGCCATTCCCTTCTCCTTTTATGTCATATCTTATTAGATTATAAGCCTGAAGGTAAGGAACTGTCAAATTGACAATCCATAAGCTGCTCAAAGAGCTTTTGTGCCTGAAGAGTGGAGTATAAATACTCTAAAAAAATAAATGCATAAACATATGGATGTCCATTGAGCAATGGTAGCCAGTGAAGTGAGTGATGAACCATGGCCCGAATGTACAATGGGCACCAATGTGCCAGATACTGGATAGGAAATGCTAGAGTACAATAGGAGTACCATTGATCATCTGAAGTGCCTGATGGGTATCAGAAGTGTCTAATGCATATCACAAGTACCCAATGAGCAAGAGAAATGCCCAATGTATATCAGGAATATCCAATGTGCAAAGGAATACTCTTGATGGTGTCCAGATGTATATCTTCACAACTCACAAGGTTTGATTGCAACATAGATTCATAAAGTTAGTAAAAGTACACCAGGACGTGGAATCTGAGCCCAAAGTTTTTAAAGGTAGGGAGATTTTGGTGAGGAGAAAAGGGAATTCAGAATTACAAACAAGTCCTCACTTCAGTTTAGTCACAAAGACCTGCATCCTACCATGTTTCTGAATATTCAAACAAATTGTTACCATTCATCTCAAAGTCTTATTCCTTGCTCTATGAAACTTGCTCTTCTTGTGTGGTCAGAGAAATGAAAAAAAAAAAAGGAATAAAGGGATGGATGGAAACTCATATGGACCTCATCGGTGTAAAATTCCAAGTGTCAGCCTCTGTGAATTGAATTTTGTGAAACATGCTCTTCTTGTGTGGTCAGAGAAATATAAAAGAGTAAAGGGATGGATGGAAACTCATATGGCCCTCATATTTGTGAACCCTAAAATGTCAGCATCTGTAAATTGATTTTTCTTCAGTCCCTTCTGTGGCATAACTGTTAATGAAGTTGCTGGGTCTATGGAGATTGCTGAGATTTATTTGTTATACAGAACTTAATGTCAAAATGCAGTGTTATCGGTTTACTCCAATGGTTTTATTCATGGAGCAGAATCTCGGAACGTATGGCAGTGCAGCATGACTCCATATATCACTCTTGAAACATAGTTAAGAGCATAATTTGAACTAAGCTTAAAAAGAAACAATTGTATTTTACATGCAAATATTTTGCAATAAAATGGGTTTAAAGATAATTTACAAGAATTATTCAGCCATATAATCACAAAATGGAAATTAAAAGACTGCTTCTGATAACCAAATAATTGGATTCAGCAGAAGCTGACACAGTGGTAAACCCTCCCCACCCACACCCAGTTGTGAAATATCTGTATGTGTTGCTTCTAAAAGATTCCCCAAGTTAAAGTACGTACAGGTGCTATTCTTCCCTTTTTTGGCTCTTCCTCTTCTGCTTTACCTAGAAAATGGCTCAAGGTCTCTTAAGAAAAATAGACTTGCAATACTATTGTACAAACAAATTATCCAAGCATGCATGTGTGTGCCTTGACCTGAATCAAGTGATGGATAATGTTAAGCTTTGCATGAATTAAATACCCTGATCATAAACACATCACCAACATTTTCAATTACATCCCTCCTACTGAATTTTCTCCTGTAATGCCTTTGCACTGGATCAACATGGAAGCTCTAGACTGACAAATTTTGTTCTAATTCATTTTCATGAGACTGATATTTGGGATTCCCCAACTGATTCTATTTTGAGCCATAGTCAAACCATGGTTCCCAACCTGTGCTCCACTGATCCCTTAGGGCTCCATGTGCACTTCCCAGGTGCTCCATGGCCACTCTAGGAAAATGAAATAAATAAAAATTGGATGAAATTAAAGAGTAAGAATATAGTCTTGTACATACTCCTAAATAGTGTAAATTTCTTTATTACGACCATTCGGTCAGCACGAGACTCCTAAATAGTATTGACTCTTAAGACATAGGTTAGGCCTCTTAGGCACTCCATCATAGAAAAAAGGTCTCTATGAGCCAAAAAGGTTAGGAACTCTTTCATAATACCATGTTGGATCTAAACTTGGAGTTTAGAGAGTGTAGGAAATTTACAATTCCCAGCCAGACAGCTCTAGTGCCTCACCAAGCTTCATACAAACCCCAGAGCTATACATGACTGTTAAATTGAAACAATAGCATTATAGTTGTCCCTGTTGCAGGCTAAAAATTGGCCCTTTCATCCACTGCAGTTATCCCTCCATGATTTATAATGTTATGCAAACTGATAGCACTGTATGGAAGGAAAAGGGAAGAGTAAGAGGGAAAAAGTATCATTTACAGATAAGCAATGGTTTCTTATTGCTACTTACTCCAATACATTTGATCTAACAAATGCAGCCCTTGGGAAATTTATCTTAGTTGCTAATAAACTTGTTTAGTGAATGTGAAATTGTGCAGAACAAATGCAAAAAATATTTATTGTTATTTGATCACTGTTTATTTAAATTACTCTTAATTTATTATGCATACCATATTATCCATATACCCTCAATAATCATCTAGATGACCTACCAGTATCTTCCTCCTGCTCTTAAGAATTAGAAGGATATCATAGTTTGGTATCCCCAAGAAGTAGAATTTCTGACACTCTTTATAAATGGAATCCAGACTATAATAAATTGTCCCTACTCCCCCTTAGTCAGTATTCTGCTTTTTTCCCTCCGCTGAAGAAATGCACAATTTTGTAATTAGAAAAATAGACTGACTCATACTGAAGACATCACCTTAGACTGATTTTCCCCCAGCAGACACTGATAAAGTTGGTGCTTGTTGTCACATTAATGGCAGGGTAGCTTGGGAATGTATTTCTTTCAAGGTTGACTGAAACAGCTATAGCCCTTGGAAAAACTCAATTTCCTAAGGATCACTGGGAATTTTTGTCATAGTGCTATATAGCCTACCTTATCATGTTGCTTCCCAAGTACCATTGAAAGAATGATGGATCAAATTGATCTTAGATTTTTCTATGACTGGATCACCACTGTTTGTGTTCCTATTCCTGATAAGTGAGTAAATTTATTGGGCGCTAATGGCTATTTGGGATAGAGAAAAGGGTGAGACATTATGGGACATGTGGAGAATTCAGTTTCACCTTGGAATGAGCCATACTGTATCTTACACTAAGAGTAGAGAAAACAAATAGTTGAGCATATGGCTAAGCCAAAGTGAATGTGAAGGTGGAAGAGGATGAATACACCACTGTTTTGCATTCTGCAGAGCTGCTTTAATATGAATATTGCAAACACACTTACAATGCTTTTAAAGTCTCTGAACATTTAAATCAGACAATAACCCTGCCCCCACAACAATAAACATATGCAATAACAGAATGTAGTCCATCTACAAAGTGCTGTGCATCCAATAAGATGTCCTTGCAGACATATTCATGTTTTGCAGATGAATGGCTGTTGGAGCTGGAACCTTAAAGCTCTCAGTAAAAGCATGAGATAGGTGCAAATACATAAAGCGGCTATAAAGATGTTACCCTTTCAATCTCTACTACACCCACAAATTAAAACCCTATTACCTAATTTAAGATGACAAGGGCTAATTTGTATTCCATGGCAATTGCAGCTCAGTCTCTTTCCCAAGGACATTTCATAGGCCTGCCTAAATAAATAGGCCATGTTTGTACTCTGGAGCAGCCTGGAGTATCCTGGCCTCACAGTTACCCTGATCTCCCCTATTACCTGACCCTCTGTTCCCACACTGCAGCAGCTATCTACACAAACAACCCACTGAGCTGTCCAGAGTATCCACTGTCACCATGGCTTCTTGCTTCTGAGGTCAGAATGAGGTGCCCAGACTCAATCATATGGCACCTCATTCTGACCTCAGAACAAGTGAACTTGGATGGTGGCAAACATGCCAGGCAAGCAGGATGTTCATGCAAACAACAACAGCAGCAGGGGAAGAGAGTTCTTCCTGAATATCCAGAGCAAGAAGCATATATTTTAAATCTGTTGTAAATCTGTTCTACCCTAGCTCTGGTGCAGAATGTGCTGGATGTCATCCAATTGCTTCACAAGAAAATGGGGTTTGCTATATGCATTATCCAAACAGGATGATGCCAGAATGAGGGATGGGCTTTTTGGGCCATGAAGACAAAGCCTTAGGCTGCACGCAGAACGAGAATAGGGAAGGAAGTTCCACAACCTAGGAGTAACAACTAAAAAGG